TTGCCACACCTTATCACAAAATAAAATACAAATAGTCCTTTTTAATACTGTAAAGCTTCTTGGCCTTTTGTTTGCATTCCACAACCTTCAGGTGGAATTAAGGTCTGCTTAATAATATAAAAATATCTTTTATTTCAATTTTGATCGTTTAATTTTTATGAGCTACCTGTATATACTGTAGTGATCCAATATCGGCGGTTCTGACAAATCGTTGCAGATCGATATCTCAAAAAATCATCCCAAGTCGTTATGTTGATCGCCTACATATGTATTTATTTTAGAGTCTAGGACCTTTCGTTCTGTTATTACAAACTTCATGGCAAACTTGTATAGCCTGTACAAGGTATTTCTTCACTTGCAAATTTAAAATCAGCGCTTCCTAATGTTCTCGTATGAGTACACTATATTATACTTAGGTACATAAGTTCGAATTAATGTTGCAAATAGTAGCAAAAAGCAATATTGCGGAGTACAACAAACTCATTAAAGTATAGGAACTAAWCAACAGAAATAACAAAACAAACAAGAGATGTACAAAAACGTGCTTGGCAAATCCCCACAGTACACTACGTGACAATTGGCAGTTCACTACCCAGTTTTAATGTTTAGTATTTTTTTAGTAAAGATAACTCGTCTTTAGTAGATTCTATTCTAAATAGTCTAAATACACAATTCGTAAATACTATAAGCACTGTGAGAAGAATCTATCTACGGAATTGTGGTTGGAGTTGGCAACAGAGTTGAAGGTTGAGAAGTTGTTCCATTGGCTTGTGGCTTTTATGTCAAATATTAACTCTAGTTTTAATATTCTTAATAGCTTTTTTACCTTAAAAATTTACTAAACTTTTGTCAACAATAAATAAAGGCAAAATCTGTGTGAATTTGAAAAAAATTTTGAGCTAGCCGACTTTTCATTTTCACTAATCTCTGTTCACAAAATCTGTTTTTCGCCATTTTTTTTTTTTTTTTTTGAAATTAAATTTTATATTTGTTTATTGGGTGTATAATAGTTAAATAAATGACATGTAAAAAAAGGTTCAGTACGATGCTCACGATTGCGGCCGCAATTTTGATCTAAAACAAAAATTTCCAAAAAAAAAAGTTTGAACAAAAAGTATCGAATTTGGCTCTTTTTTTCGATAGTTTGTCGTAGCTGGGTGGGGAACACGTTAATTGAAGCTAGATATCTTCAAAACTCTTCCTTGGAGAGTGAAAACCGTTTTGAAAAACACCATTCTGAGAAAATCGCGTTTGAAGATTCGAGTTTCAGTATTCCCTTTCTWCAAGAAACGCCCTAACGACCGTAATAATTTGAATTTCAAAATTTGAGAGAATGTTCATTAGAGTATATACTATCCGATAATGCAACAAAAAAATCTATTTTTCTAATATTTTACACTGAGACAATCCTTTAACAAAAAGAAAAAAAAAATTAAAAAGTTTTTTTTTGGTTCCGTTTTAATACCTTTTTCCAATAAAGCTTATATATTTTTTAAGGGAATTTAGTCACATCTCGGAATTTAGTATATTAACGGTATTCAGGCAGAWCTAAAATTGTTCATGTAAACTTATGCACTTAAACAATTTTTTTTTGAGATGTAAACTTCGCTTTGTCGCCTAGTGTATATTTACAAGCACTATCATTGTAGCTTTGTAGAGGAAACGAAAACAGAAAAACATTAAAGAAGAAGAAGAATATGTTGCTTTCAGTGGCAATTTTTGCTGTTGATTAATGAGCATTGTTTTGACTCGCTTCCTCTGCTGGTGATTGTTATTCCTTATTCAGGTCGAGCAAGATTTTCTTAACCGCACAGATACTTAAATATGTATGTATAGAWATGTATTCGCAAGCAGTTTTAACAATTAAATGCATTGTGTTGTTGTTGATAAGAAACCGTATTAGGCATGTTCAAATTTCACAAGAAAAATCTTCCACTTTTCTGCCGTTAAAACTATTATTTTTCAAAAATTCCCTTGTTTCTTAGTTTTTCTTCTTTGTTTTGGGAAATCTCCCACCTAGACCCGCTGCTTTAACAACGTGAAWCTGTGCCCTTTGGCAGACAGGTGGAGTTACCAGTTGAGGAGTTACAAGTACAAAAGTCAAAATAAATTATGCAAAATTTACAGACTTCAAAATTTTAAAACACCGACAACTTGACCACCCACCAATAATTGCAGCAACGCATACCGGCGGCCGATCCTCGAAGAAGCCTAGACTAAGCATCACACACGTATATTAAACGCGAAATTCTGCCACATGCATGCTTTCTTTCTGCGTGTCAAGGCCCACCTCAGTCTGCATGGACCGTCGGCGACCACGGCATCGAATACACCGCGCTCCACCCCACCCGCCACACCTGAGCCAACATACACGCCGTCGTCCATGGAGCTGCAACGCTCGAAATCGCTGAAATCCATACGCGTGCGCAAAGTGTCCAAAGGATCACTGAAGTCGCTGCGTCGCGGCACCATTTGCGTCACGGTCAGCTCGCACGCCTCCTCGGTATTCTACAGTGATGAGGTAAAGACATTCATATTTCTAGAGCACTTTTACATTTGTTGGGGTGAGCCTGCTTGTTTTGGGGTATATGTATGGAATGAGAGTGCCCTGTGGGTGCTGCTCTGAGGTGTCATTTTCTCCTTCACCCGACGTACTCATTGCAAAAACTCAGACAAATTTGTGAATAAGCGTGTTCAGGGCGTTAGAAGCCTTTGAAGTGAAACTAAAGCGTTTAAAGCGGCATATTTGGCTTCGTTGCACTTGTGTGTGTGTGTGAACTTAATGGTGTGTGTCTAAGGATTTTTGTTTTTGCTCATATTTATATTTATGCGTGTTCAGCAATGTGCCGTTTCTGTTTGTGCGTTTTCACTGCATATTTTGTTTTAATTTTATTGTTGATTTATTGCAAAGTATTTTCTTGGCCGTGAAAATTAATTCAATTATTCCACCGTTTTTATTGTTGTCGATGGTGCTCATTGGCAAAGGTTTTACGTCCATTCGCCTTCTATTCATTCCACCGCCAGCTCATCTGACCATTTGCAAACATTCATAAGCACGCGCACACACTCACCTATACATATAATAGCACGTATTCCTTATCTGTATGTGTGTGTGTGTGCTTAACTATTGTATTTGGTTTTTATTACATTTATTCCCATTTCCATTTTACTACATCGCGTTGAAAATTACATTAGCTTGTTTTGTACGTGTTCATGTCTTCATGTGTTTATGCGTGTAGGTGTGTAGGTGTTTAAGTGTGTTTGTGCTTATTTACGTTTGTTATTGATGCCAAGTGCATGTTACCGTTTTGCTGTTTTATGGTTCAAGTGCCTCGGCGATTACGTGTACACCTTTRCCTAACGTTGTGTCTGTGTCTGATCGATCGCCTTTTAAAATATTTTTATGCGTTTACATATACKTACATATGGTACATACATACATACATACATAACACAATATTCACATGTCCGTATGAATTTCATAAGAAACAATTTCATCAGCTATTTATAGGTTTGTGTAAAATGTAATTTATGTTTTCCGAACGAAATAAATTCACGAAATTATTCGTTTAATTATAGCATAATTTAATAGATCGTCGAACTTTCGATTATAAATGGTTTATTGAGTTTGCTTGAGCGCCCTATTATATGTGCATTGTCCTGACGAAAGAGAATTTTTTTCTTCAGCAAACCTTGTCTTTTTTCACGAATTTTTTCTCTCAACTGGTTCAAAAAGGTTGGAGAAATATTCAGAATTAATTGTTTTCCCAGTTTGCCTTTAATCCACAAACAAAACCAAAAACCCGATGGCATAACCTTCTTGGCCGATTACCGTACACGAACTCGTTTCGAAGCCGAACAACCAGGTCTCTTTAGTCTCTTGTTTGGATTCAGAATCATGGTGATAGACCATAGTGATGAATCGACGCACAAAATCCACTTTATCCTTTTTAAACGGCTCCAAATGTTGCTGAGGAAGTCGCATTCGAATGTGTTTCTGTTCCATTCCAGCTTTCTATAACTCAATCTTCTAAAACCATATCTTGTATTTTTACTTTGTTTTCTGGTGTTGATACGCTTTTTAAACGTCCGTCACGTGGATCGTTTTCAGGGCTTATACGACCACTTTTAAATTCAGCAACCCATCTTTCTACTGTTCTAAATGTTGGTGAACAATCATTATACACTTTTAACATTTGTTCGCGAATTTCTTTTGGTGCTAAATATGAGTTTTATCAYTGTATGATATTCAATTCTTTCCATTGTAAAAAATACTGTCACACTGYGACACTAAACGGCTAGTAAACAAAGATGGAATTGACAGATTGAAATGAAACTACACATACGTTGATATGAAGAGATTACCAACAAAACAAAAAATATCGAACGATAAAACTTGTTGAACAATCTGGTATATGGGTAATAGTTTCTGGCTCTATAAGTATTTTAAAGGGCCTTTGGGACCATCATTGCTAAGGGAATGTCCTTCTAAAATGTTGAAAAAATAAGTACTTTCTCTCCGCCTCAATCATGAATGATTGGAATTTTAAATCTTTAAATCTAGTCCAGAAAACCCCTGGCTAATTGACGACATAACGTTGATGAAATATTCTTCAAGTTCAAGTGCATGTCATTAAAGCGTTTACCGATAAAGCCATCGCTACGACGTTTGTACCAAAGCATTATTCTTTCCGTTGATTACTTCAGAGTTTTTAGTTGGAATTTGCAATATTTTTATAACTGGACATTCATGAAGGGATTCTCTAGTTAAATAAAAACATTTAAATTTGTCAGACTATTTTTTATTGCACCTGCGTAAGTATTATGGTTTTTATTAATTTATTTTTGCCGTTTTGGCAAAATAACTATTTTTAATTCAGTTACTAACGTTGAAGCGTTACATTTATTAAAACACCGCATACTGGAAATTAAATATAATAATTTTGTTATACTAAAAATAAAAATAAATTCTCTCTTTTGTTTGTTTTCTTTTCTTCTAGGGTGACTACATTAAACATCCCGTCCTTTACGAACTCAGCCATAAATATGGCTTCACCGATAATCTTCCCGAGAGTGCGCTGCCTAACCGCCTCGAGGAAATCAAAGAGGCGATACGGCGTGAAATCCGCAAAGAGCTGAAAATTAAAGAGGGTGCCGAGAAGTTGCGYGAGGTAGCCAAAGATCGACGCTCCCTGAACGACGTGGCTTCAATTGTGAAGAAAAGCAATAGCAAATTAGCCGAGTTGAAATCGGAGTTGCAAGAATTGGAGAGTCACATACTCCTAACCCAGGGCAACTCCGTGAGCAATGGCAGAGGTACGTACATTGAGAATTTAAAATTTTAATATTAGACAGTGTAGGCGTTGTGCAATTTCAAATGAAAATATTTTCGTAGTTCAAACTCGGAACAAAAAAAAAAAAGGTCTGTTGACCTGTTTAAAAATCAATTTTGCACGAGGATCCTTTATATATTCATCCATTATGGGAAACACAACAACAAAAAACAAATACACTTTTCCAAAATTATAAAACACCAAACAATGCGCCATTGACTGCTCATTCATAAAAATTAACTCTATGCCTGCGTAAGGGCCAACGAAGTACACATATTGGAATTCTCTCTTCTTACTCATATCTTTCTAGGCATTTTTATGAATTAGAGCAACTGTTGGCAAATGGCCAAGCATAATTTAAAATAGTCCATTGTTGCTGTGACCTCGGATGTGAAAAGGCCTCACATATGTGTCCGCTTATTCATGATTTGTATGAATAAAAAATTAATTGAAGCAATGGAAGACTGGACGTATGGCTGGCTGAAATACTGCATAACACGGCGCAGTGTTGTATTTGCATGCGGGTATTATGTAATTCATATTTCGTCATCGCTGCTGCTATTCTCGACATGTGCGCACTCATACTCGCACACAAATGCGCAGGTATTGTCATTCTTTTGAGATACAAAACGTTCAAGCGGTAAACACGGAAAATGCTTTTGCGCTACATAACATATATGCTCTTATTTCGACTAAAAACTGATCAGAAGAAAGAAAAAGTCATCGACAATATACAATGTTTGTCCAAAAAGTAATAGGACTGAGTSGATTTAAAAATTGAACCAATTCTCCAAAAACTTTCAAAATATGCTCCTTCTGCGTCGATGGAGCGTGCCAGCTCGATTTCCAAGCATTGAGGGGGTCACGGAGGGCATTCTCCRGAATAGCCTTGAGAACCGGGGTGCATGGTGCTTGAATCCCCTCTGTCCTCTCAAAATTCTTGCCTTTCATGGGCCTTTTCAACAAGTACAAGGAAACAAAAAAGTCCGGGGGCCCACATCTGGACTGTAGGGCGGCTGTAATGTTTTGTCGGACCCGATTGACCCATTTTTTGGTTCTCTTGAGGACTTCCACATAAAAGTTGGCGTTGACAGTTTGYCCAGGAGGAACAATCGCCGCTCGTTCGTTAGACAAGTCAGGCAGTTATGRCCTTAACTAAATCATGATGTTTAGAACTTAGACATACTCATTTATGCCGAAATAATTGCAATATATTGATTTTGTTTCTAAAAACAATATAAAATATCAAGGTATTACTGGGATATTGTAGAAAGCGAGGTTGCATTTACGCTACTCTTAGAATTTGTCACTTAATTAAAWGTYGCTGTATCCTTTTTGCATTTCCTTTCAGATGGCTACTCCTCGAATCTATCCACGCCAACGTCAACATTGGGCGGCAGCGTCAGCAGCTTGGGCGGTGGCAATGGCGGCCTTATTGGCGGCGGTCACGAACAGCTTTCGACGAACGATAAAATGCTTATCTCACTGGAGAAGCAACTAAATATCGAAATGAAAGTAAAGAATGGCGCTGAGAATATGATACAGTCATTGGCGAATGGCCATCATGGGCGTGACAAAAAGCTCTTGGCTGAGGCGCAACAAATGTTGGCCGATTCCAAAGCGAAAATTGAGTTCTTGCGGTTACGCATCCTCAAAGTAAAGCAGAACAAGGAACACGCTCATAAATTGTCCGCGCAGGCAGCCATAGCGGCTAGCGGCGACGGCGAGAATGGTGGGCAGCCGCAACGGCTGGAGACAACGCTCGAGGAGCGCATCGAAGAGTTGCGGCATCGCTTACGCATCGAGGCCGCCGTCGTGGATGGAGCAAAGAATGTGATACGTACCCTACAGAATAACAAAGTGCCCGATAAGAAGGCGTTGCAAGAGGTAAGTGGGCCTTTTGTTTCTTACTTTTCTTTTAAATATTTTTTGATGTGAAACGTTTTTGGATTGGTTATAGAATTATAGGATATTCCCTAACATTTTAATATTGTTTATAATTGGTGGTAAATTTTATCACGTGTTTTAGCAATGCGATTTATAGCAGGTGTTTTATTATAAAGTTCAAAATATTTTTAATTTTGCAGTTTTCAAAATTATAACTTAAAATATAAATAAAATTCATTCCGGTTATTATTTATAATTAAAGTCTCTGTTTGTAGAATGCTGCGAAATGAAGGAAAATAAATTTTCGCCTTATTTTTTTCATTGCAATGAGATGTTTTTAATGAGAAAGTGATTCACAATCATAGCATTTTGTAAAAGTAATTCCATAACCCCGAATCTATATTTCAACTGCTCTCTGTAGTTGGCATCGAGCAAGAATTGGGCTAATTGCCCTGCTCCATTTTAATCGTGCATTTTCGTGCGATCGCCAACAATTGCACGTCACTCGAGAGTAGATCATGTCGTCCGGCGCAGTACACGAACCTTGGCTACTTATCTCGTGGATTTGCTACGTTGGGGAAGGCGCATAAATTATGCACACGCCTTTGTATGTGTTCCAACATATTCGTATCGCTTGGCTTTATTTTCCTCACTGCTATTTATATTTCGTTCAATTGACGATTTCTTTTAAAAATAGAGAAAAACTAGTAGAGCAAAGAAAGAAAAAGTTTTTAAATAAAAATATTGAGCTGCAAAACGATAATGCTTTGTGTATATGTATATAATTATATACTTAATATGTGCAGAGGCACTTGAATTCGGCGCTGCCATTCTAATTAGATGACGGCAAATTGGCTATGCTTGCGGAGCAACAGATAATCGGGCAGAAAATTTAAGTTTTGGCGAATTCAAAAAAAAAAATATCAAAATGTATCGAATGTTTTGAAGTTTTTAAGGTAAAGAAAAAAAAAAAAAAATTGAAAAAAAAAAAAAAAAAAAAAAAAAAAAAATTTTGTAAATTCACATGAGAAATTCGAGCAATAAAAAATTAAATATTTGTGGAATTATATAAGGTCTCAAACGCCGTTAAAAAAGGTCTCCACCTTCTCCGTGAATCAAATCTAAACATAAAACATTCTCRATAGACTAAAATATGTTCTTCGTGCAAATACCTGCGACCAAAGAAAAAAAATTGGTAAAATGGCCACGTTTTAAAAATAATTCAAGTTGGTTGGTCATTTGTTGTAAAATCATCCTCGTTTTTCACCTGCCAAGATTCGCTTTTGATAAGATCAGAAGGCGATAGGCTCATATACAGATCCTTGTTGTTATAAACCAGACACTGGATTGAGTTTTAGAATTGATTGGAATTAGTATGGCTCAACAAAGATCGGAACTAATGCTAAGATCAGTTTTTTGTGAGCTATGATGGTTCTCCTATCGATAGGTAGCTGAGACACACAAAAACATAGCTCTATGCCAACTAACCACTGCCTTGTGTGGCGCATTTGATTTGTCCTCTCTCGGTTGCAGTATCACTTGCAAGAGCTCGACTAATCCATTTATTAAATGTAGACGCGTAAATATGCTTCTGTTTATGGCATCTGGCGATCCGTTCATTGATTTTTATTCCGCTAGATGTGAGTGTGGGGTTTGTAACACCTAGAACAGTTGTGGCACAGTTGCTCGTAATTGTATATAAGAAGGTGTGTTCGTGCACTTTACGTATCGTGTTTATTGTTATGGCCCACTGTGTTTAGCTTGTTATTTGTTGTAGGCTTTCTTTTAACTCCGTTCTATCGACCACATTGCGGTGGCGGTTACACGCCCTCTACAACCATTTGCCTGCACCAAGTGACCTACATATATATAATTAAGTGAGTGCATTTATGAGTTTATGTTTCAAGCAATTTGTTGTTTGTGTGAATAATGAGGCAACCATTTTATTTTGCTCATAAAACTTAAGTAAAAGTTTTCTAGAGCTATTTACTAGCTCTTCGCAACATGCACTGCTTTGTGCAGTTTTCATTGCCTCAGCAGTCCGGCTGTTAGTAGCTCTGAAAGATGCGCTTTGATGCCGAGACTCCATGCTACTTTGTTTTATTACCTTCGCATTGTAATAAAGCAGGCACTTGTGAACTTAGAACAACAACTTAAATTCACTTTGTGTAAATATATTAGAGAATGCAATCAAAGAAAGTTTCATATAAAAGTAATGTAATCAATAAGATCTAAAAAAAGAGTAGCCACAACAAACTTGCTGCACTTAAGTAGTTTTCCAGCTGATAGAAGTGCCACAGTTTTTGGGTTATTATCAATGCTTTTGATACCAAGTTAATATTAAACAGAAAAATCATTTACTGAGAGATTTGYCAGATTTTCCGAAAAGCGTTTTCAAACACTGTACGTGCCTGCTGAAAACCCAAACGTTTTGATTACCAAGCCTTGTATAACAACATTCTTTGGCTTATATTATACTAGGAGCTAATTAGATGCTCATTAGTCTTGGAGGTCTTTTGGCATAACACAATCGCAAGCCACATTGAGCAAGATTCACTCAAGAACCAGTATCAACAACAACAATAATGTCAGCCTCGAAATCCAACGGAGAATTACTTTAACCAACAATGTTACTTCGGACTGAGTAGGCAAATGAGAAGTAAAGTCGTCTCTCAACGAACAAAAACCAAACTCTATAAGTCACTCCCGCCCCGTTATATGGTGGAGAGTCATGTACGATGACAACATCTGATGAGTCGCCGTTACGAGTTTTCGAGAGAAATGTTCTGCGAAAGATTTATGGTCCTTTGTGCGTTGGTCCCGGAAAATACCGCATTCAATGGAGCGATGAGCTGTATGAGATGTACGATGACATTCACACAGTTCAGCGAATTAAAAGACAGCGACCACGCGGGCTAGGTCATGTCGTTCGAATAGACGAAAACACTCCAGCTCTGAAAGTATTCGACACAAAACCCGCCGGGGAAGCAGAGGAAGAGGAAGACCTTCACTCTGTGGGAAAGACCAGGTGGAGAAGGRCCTGGCTTCGTTTGGAATCTCCAATTCCTTCGCTGTTGTTAACTCGAAGATTCTCAAATAGGCGTTCAATGTCATAGCAGAAGTTAAAATGTGTATTTTCCGGATAAAGAGACCGATTTTAAGTATATCTGAAGAAACAAAATTTGTATATTTATTAAGATTGAGATACTTTAATAATCTTAATTTGTATTATCTCTTATTGCTCGCGTAGAAGAACACCTTCTCACCATCGCTCTGCTAGCTAAACTCTCTATTTCCCTTTTTTTCTATGCATACGGTCGCTCATATATGTACGAATTTCCTATTCACATCTCACGAAAATGAGAAGAAWATTCCTAGCAAACACAGATTTTCACGGAGCTTTTCGCTAACCAGCTGCCTGTTTGACGTTTTTTCGCTTRTGAAGCCGATCGAGCGGACAATTGGCTGGTTAGTTGTGTTCGTGCCGTGGTGWTGTTGAGAACGTTTTCATGTCCGTGCTGTGCGTCGTCTTGCGTGTTTATGCGTTTTGTGCGTAATGTTGTTGTTTAACATCCACTATATATATAAAAAAWWWTTTTTAATAAAAATTCTCAACACAACAATACATAGCTTGGSGAAAAAGGAGCATCAATCATCACATGCCAGCGAAAAACTATTGCTGAAACGCCTTAGTAACCGTTACAGGCAGCTACTTCATAGTGAAATGCGAATAATCGAGTGTTTATAAAAGTTTTTTATATCTTTTTTTACTGTGTGTATAAGAAAAATGATCAATTCTCACGTTGAAGGCGTTTATTTAACATTAATATCTGCGCTTAATTATTTTGCTAAAAAGTTGATTCAAAGTTGCGCAATCGGCTGTGGTATATGAACGTATTGTTGAAGTGATCTTCAAGGTGTGGAAGGGTATTTTCGTTCTTATATAATGTATTAATAAGTATATGTCTGTACAGGATGTGGCACCGTCATTTCCTACAACACGCTGAAGCTCTCGGTTGACTGCCTGCAACGTTGCCAGCTTTTATGAATTGACATGCGTTGTTGGCGATTTATTTTCGTTTGCGACCTCAAAAGTCTTCTTACCGCCCATCCACTGTGCCGCGAATTCGAAACATTTGCACCTGTAATGTAAATATAATTGTGCGAGGCATAAATGCAATGCCGTTGACTTGACTGCGCATAAAATATACTTTTCGTCGACTATACAGGCTAATAAAGATGTTTCTTCGCCTCTCTATTTATACGTACATACATATGTATGTAGCGTATGTGTGTGTGCCCATTTTTCTTGCCGACGTCACAATGTGTCGGTCGAAAACTTAAAAATAAAAATCTTAAATTGTAATAAATTTATAAAAGAAAATTATTTAAAAACGAGAGTGTTTTTTGCACCACGAAGACCTCGGTGAACGACGTGTGCGCGTCTGTGGCAGCTGTCGGACGTTGTAAAATGTGTAAAGAATAAATGAATTCGTATTTTTAAACGCATTATTATAGATGCACAAACAAAAGTAGTTGCCAAATATTTGACGCACATATTCCGCGTAATTTAAGATGCGCGCTGCTTGAAGTTACTCATAAGTAGCATGTAAAAATACACCAGTCTCTTCTCAATAAATCTGTTATGTGGGTGATGAGAGACGATTATCGTGCTTTTTTTTTTATTATAATTAATATTTTGCTACACAAATTCAACAGTTTTGTACTACACTGCACTACTACATTGCATACGTAAAAGCGTATCTAAGTTACGATTGTAGATGTGTATAAGAGACAGGTACTACACTGCACTACTACATTGCATACGTAAAAGCGTATCTAAGTTACGATTGTATCGAACAATTTTTCCTTGAGTTTAAATCCTATTCACTATTTAAAAATCCAGTGATCGTCTCAATTCGCTGCAAGTTCTTGCAATTGATTCCAAAGTAATTGAAGGCCGGGAAGATAATATACCCTAAGTCCATAATGCATAAAGT